TGTAAAATCAATAAGAAAAAACTTTACATTTTTCTATAAATATTGTTCATTTGTTTTTTTTTTTAGCTTTAAGTGTTTGACAAAATAAAAGTTCTAATTACTATTTCTGGTTCTTCCATAAAAGTCTAGTAAAATGTCTCCAAAAACAGTTAAATCTAATGAAGTGATCAGTAATGTTACTGTTTTGTGCTCATATCAGTCATTCAGGGCTGATTCATGAAGGAATTAGGAATTGACCAATTTTAACCATCTATTTTACATGAGTGTCTGAAAGGACTGAGCTTCTTGACTTTTCATGTTGCTTCCATTTTAACCTCAGCTACTTTTTCACTCTTTCTGAATATGTTCTTGAATTGAACCATTTTCTGATTAGTTTTATTCTTTGTTGACTCAGCTAACGTAGAAGTTAAAACAAGTAAAGACACAAGGGATGAAACGTGTCGAGGCCTGCCTATTACTCAATGGCTAAAGGATTAAATTTAAATAGTTTTATTTTTTGGTTTTGTCTACAAAATTTTGAAAAAAAAAATACACTTTTTGACTGTCAAAATTGCTCCAATAAGATAACTCCCAAAGAGCTGTGAGCCAAAATGCAGCTGACATGGATCAACTGTAGGATCAGATGTTCTTCTCAGATCTGACATCAGATCTTTGCTGATTCACTTTGACCTTGATTTAATAATATATTTCATTTTCTTTAGATTTTAATCTGTAGACTTTGTTTTAATGCACTACTTGTCTTTTTCCTGACAGTTTTGAAGAACGTGCTGTATGATGTGACGCTGTTCCTTTATAACTTTGTACATATTTATTTTTGTATGTTCTTTATTGCAAAGTTTTTGAATTTGAGTTTTGTATCAAATTAATGGCAGTGTGAAGTTATTTGTCTTGAATAAAGAAAAACTGACAGGATTTCCTACTTAACCGACAATGAGAGAGGACAGCACTCTGCTGCTTTATCTCCAGCTGCCTTTTTGTATTTCACAAGTAAAACTGATGAAAAGTTGATTATGTTCTAAAACTGACCTTTGGTGTCTGATTGTTGTATTTCTTTATTTTCCTGTAGGAAGATCAAAAGTCTTCCAGCTGGTTGGAGTCAGTTTTGGCTTGTTGTGCATCACACAAATAACTCTCAACGTTTATTTTCGGCAACGTTCTGGTGAGCATCAACACACTGTGTCCAGCAGAGCCCCGTTTCAGAAAGCAGGATAAGTGGAAATCCTGAGTCAGCTCTGGGGTGACTATGTACATATCCTGAGTTTTCAGTTTCAGAAAGCCAGGTAGCAGTCATCCTGAGTTAACTTACCCCCACATCTTACTCTGTAGCAGGATTACTGGAACATATCCTGAGTTAGTCTGACCTTTAAGCTGAGATCTGGCATGAGGAAAGTGTCAGGCAGCGCATGTCCTTTTCTAAAGGAGCCTGTAGATGTTGGAGCATAATAATCCACAGAAATGTATGTCGGGAGAGAGTGATAAGACCAAGATTAGATGTCTTGTCATTTCTGGATGAAAATCTGAGAATTTTCAGATGTTTTTAATTGCTCAGGTTTCAATCTTTTCCTTCAGCTTGTAGCTGTTTCACAGGAAGATTTAGAGGCAGAAAAATGTTAATGTTCAAGTTACATTTCTCTCTCTTGTGATGTTATGATCAAAGGCTTAAATTGTTACTGTCGTGGAAATGATTTACCAAGAATGCAGAAACACGTTGGAATAAATGCACAGAAAGTCTGCGTGTATGGTCGTCAAAAATGATTTAATTCTGAGCAACAACCCAGCTGTCAGTCGATCAGGAAATCGGCTGAGTTGTGACTGACGCGTCAGCGGAAAGCAGCCAATAATATACATCATGATAACATCATATGACGTGCTTATAACCAATCACAGATCGCCAACTGTAACTGGCTAGCCAATGACAGGGCTCGTAGCCCAAAGAGTTTCCTACTCAGACAAGAGAGGTCAGTCCGTTGCGGAGTCCTGACGTCTGGGCAAACAGATTGACATTGATCATAAGATATATGAGTACTGGACAGCGTCAAGGTGAAACAGATAGATAATTAGTCCATAACACTTACAGAAGTATAGCCTAACCCTGACCACAAACCCTAAAGCTAACCTCACAGGTACCTACCTGACCCTTAAACTAACCTAAACACAATTCACACCTTGGTCCTAAACCCAACCCCCCAACCCACCAATGGCATTTAAACCAAATGGGGACTCAACTTTTGTCTCCAAATGCACCAGTTGTCCCCAAAGGTAGGAATTTTGTCTTAAAATTGCCCCCAAATGTCACCAGAAACCCCCCCCCACACACACACACACCCTTTTATCCACTTGAATAATTGTGAAGAATAAAAGTTTAGATTTCTGTGAAATCACACATTGGCTTAATCAGCAATTATCTGCTGCACAACTCATTTTGTTTTGCAGCAGCAACAGCACTGTGTTTTTTAATTTCATTTTTTAAATATATGTTGGTATTCTCTATATGCCATCATTAATATTTTTAGATCCAGCGTGATAAATGGACTTCCGGTCTTCTTTTTTTCTCCTGTTGCCATGGTGAATCGCGTTATTTGACTTCCATTGATGAGGGATTTGTGCTCCAACTTAACTCAGGGGTAACTTGACTCAGAATTAAGTTATCCAGTTGATATCATCTGTTCTGAAAGCAAAAATCCTGAGTGAGCAGGGTAAGTTGATTCAGAGAATCAGCGTTAACCCAGGGTTTGTTAAGCCTGTCTTCTGAAACGGGGCCCTGGTGTCACAAAATCAGAGCGATGACAACAGACAGTTGTCATAAATCCTGATGGTTTTATTATTATTA